AAATTTTGTCCCAATTTTTAATAAAACGACGTAAATATTGCGCCGACGCTTCGCGCTTCGACCATGCGCCGTTGTTAATCCAATATAAGACAAGGCCTCAATTCCGCTATTTTATGTTATAATCGCATTTCAATAGTCTAAACTACACTTGCATTTTGCCATTGATAGTACAATCTACCTAAAGTCCAATATTATTAGTGCTCACAAATCAACAGATCATATATCTGAAGAAATTTATTTTCTGATCAGCCCTGCTATTCTGTGAAAATCCAGACCCGAATTCAAATTCACTCAAGTATCCGGATTCACGTCGTTGAATGAAGAAATTTTTATTGAATCCATTTTTTGTACGAAATTATAAAACAAATTTATTGATTATAAGTTTTTCAAATATTCTATTCCTATGTCATATCGAAACTCACTTCACTTATGCCACAAAACGTTATTACCAATTGAAGGTTGAGCGGATGCCGCTTTTTGAATGATACCTGAGTGAATGGTATGGATTTTTTCAGGATCGCAGGGCAGGTAACGAGAACTGTGCCATATAAGGTTGTTGTTGAAACTTTCCATAATTACTTTAAAATAAGCAGAATTACCCTACAGGCAGCCTACCCAACCGGCTACCCAACGCACTATTAAGATGAAAAGTTAACAAATTCATGTTTAAATGCAATTGAAATAGAAGTGAACCTGTGCTGTTACGATACACTAATCCAACATTACATTCATAATGTAAATTTCGAGTGGGAATTTTTTAAGCTCGCCAAACACTATTCGCTATAAATTGTATAGTGATGGTTCGATTTTCCCTACCATAAAAGTAAAAACGGAACCCTTATAGTATCACTCGTTTATCCGTCTGTCTGTCACCACACATAGGAGATTTTTTTTTAAATCTATAATAAATTTGCTAACTCTTCGCGTGAGTCCACTTAATTTCCAGAACTTTCATCATATTTTTGCGCATTTAGGAAGACATTGCATCAAACACGAATCCGATTAACAGATGATTCTGAGAATTTTAAATACACAATGACAAAGGAATTAACATCAAATGCCTTAAACATGATTATTTATGCTTGTATTCAATTCAACAAGTCGATAGCCATTCTTATAATAAAACGAGCACTACATATATATGATCGAACTACGAACATTACTTTCATATACGACTACTTGTTTGTTGTTGGAAAATAATAGTTAATTTTTTTCGTGACAGTCAAAATATTATACAGAATTAAGAGCATCTGAATATTTCAAATTTCTTAACAGCATCAGAAAATGTTAATTTCTTCACAGTGAAATATTAACACAAGCCCAATGAGAAGTTTTAATCTAAAATATATAAATACATCAGTCAGTGGGCTGTCAATTATTTATCTACTTACAATAATTATAATTACAACACGTGGACTCAATCCCTCATTGTCCACCGCGAGACCCCATCGTAACTTAATCTAAGCAATATAAATCTTAAATATTTATTATTAAATACACAAAAAAAACTAACTATATTCACTTGTTCGATTTCATGATATCTCTTATTATTATACAACATCAATATAATATCTGATTTACAAGGATTAGCAGAATGCATTTCAATTTCCTACTGTGCTGTAGCATGAACGAACCATTATGAAATTTTTATAGTTAAATACATTTAAATACACGTGAAACTAGTACATTAGGGAATGAACAACATACTACACCATATATTTATTAAATATCTTTTTACATTATTCAAAAGTCTACCGTGATCTTCTATCACGAAATAAAAAATCCTTAGATATAATTTTTTTTTAATTATTTTAGTCTACGTTACTAAAATAAATACGATGATAGTGCCTATACCTTGTCAATTTACTGATTCTTAAAGTAACGACAGACGTTTTAGAAATATAACATCATGTTATCTATTATGGTTTGAATTTTAAACCATTTCGAATATTCTAACGTAAAATGAACTTCAGTTTATTAAGGGTCATGCGATCAATTTGAACTTTACTTTAATCACATTAAGGGCTAAAATCGATTGAAGAAATTTAGTCTGATAACTGTATAAAACACAGACCCATTAAATTTTTATCATAGAGTAATTTTTTCTTTTTTGTTACTTTACCTGTTATAGTGGTCGTGCAGTGGCGGAATAATATTTTCTATATTTGCTATTACATGAGATATTACAAGAGATTTGTAATTCATATAATTACAGCATACAGCGCTGTGGCCAACTTAATTTCAGTGTATTTCACATTACTAAAAACAGAAATGACTGTAAAGTATATCTTCATGAATTTAGGTATAAAGTGCAACCTCAGAGATCATCTCCGTTGTTTCAAAAACACTCGTATTCTATCTACATAAGGTCCATATTACAACGCAACAGTGAAAAGTTTACCATAAATTGCTAGTGCCTATACCGTATATGACTAATTCATATTAACGAACATACAGACGACATTGCACATATTATATCACATTAATTACAATTAATGTTTACTGAAATGTCACAGTGAACCAACAGCTGATGTTTTTGTTAACTACAATTATAATCTAACAATTAACATATATTTAATCTAAAGGATAATCAGCCAGTTTCACAAACATCCATTAAAATTTTCATTAGTTTAAAGGGACAATACCCATATAAATTTGACATTCATTAGAGCTTAAAGGCGTCATTAAACCTAAATGGACCTTTGTGCAACTCACAGAATATCTTGATATTGAAAACAATTAATCTGTAGTGTATTAATAAACGTATATGTCACAAACATTTGTTAACTGTTTTTTGTTTTTTCACTTACATTTCAGTCGGAGAATAAACAAGATTATTAAGACTGAGGTCATATTCCCGAATTAAAGAGTGCAAAGGCTTTGAAACAACAAATCTAGATACACGTCGCAGAATTAAGTTAACTGCCCTAAATCTATAGTTTAGCTACAACAATCTTTGTTGGCTTTACACACGCAATTTTTTCCTTACACTTTTTTCTTGTCGTAATGGTGCATATATTCTCAACTTAATTTATTATTACTTTTATAATAAAAAAAACACTAATTTATGCTTTAAACAAACAACATCTGATCACATTATTTCGGTGTGTAATAAGGATTTAACTAACTAACGAACGACTGCGATAAAATAAATAGAAAGTTGCTAGTTGAAATAACTTAAGTGCGTTAGTAAAAAGTGGACACTAAGGTTTTTATATTTCATTGTTCACAGAACGCATTTTTATTATAAGTATAGAATTACATCACTGAACATAGGCCTCCCCCATTTACCTCCACTTTGACCCCTTGCAAACATATTGGCAAAGTCTATTCAATCATCTGTCCATCTCGCAGTAATCTATCCTCTCCCAGCTAATAACATTGTGATAAAATATGATCTATAAATGAAACAACTTTGAAACGCTTTCATCGCGTTTGTATTTTGATGATAAACGCGATGAAGAGTTGTTTCATTTATGGATAGTGCGCGTGAAAATATAAGAAATCATTATATAATCTTTTATCACTAAGATATCGTAAAAGATTTACAAGGATATTTCGCTAACATGTAACCAGAAATCCGAGGCTGCTGGTCTAAACCTCACCACATTTAACAAAGGGGAGAGGGATTAAAAACGTTTTTTTTTATTCTAAAAACCTCGCGCGATTAATAGACAAACTCATATATGATTAAAAAGAAACTCCTAGTAAAAACCCCCTCCAGCTTTACCTCATAGTATCTTAAGCTGTGAAAGACCAGGTCTTGGTGCTTAAGACACCAGGTCTACATTTATAGAAAACGAAACTCCAAAGACCTTAATTATATTTTAAAATATTACCCACAAGAGGGAATTCATTTTCGTTTTCACATTGTGATATAGAATTATGACTACACGTAATATATTTTTATAATACGTTTTACTTCTTTACATAACGGCAAATGAGTTTTGTAATACAAAGCAAATATGTAAACAATTAGGCTCCTAATCAATTTTATCATTAGTTATATTTAAACGACAACATATATGATTGTATATTCTGCAAGTGATTAATGATTAAAACTAAAGACCGTCGTATTATTTTCATTTTTTTTTTTATATAATGGAATCTGCAATTTATCAAGAAGTTTTGATAAAATGCCGTTCTGTTCTTTATTCTAATTACTAGGCGGATTACCCACGGTGACGCAAGTCACAGCGACAATGACGTATGTTGGCTACTTTTAAAGTGGAACATCACAGACTAATTAGATTTGTTCGATTATCACGATATGGCGCTAGCGTTCTAATTTTTTTTTTTTAATTAAATCCGCTATTCCCATATTAATCTAATACAATTTTACGATTTTTAGATATATAGTAGAAATGTAGAAACAAAGAGACCAACCGAAACCAGTAAAATTTGAGTGGTTTACGAGAAAAAATAAAGTTTGACAAAGAACCTTTGCTTTAGACAAACAAAGCTGTTTTGAAAGTTAAGTTCATGGGGAACCTTTAATTTATAAATAAAATAAGAACGCTGGCGACATCTCTTGACATTCGATACGAATTACACTGTAACTTTGTATAACACATTTTTTTAAGAATACTGTTCGACAGAAATTGGACTGTGCCATATTCGTGGGCTATATAACATTACACGGCTAGAACTAGAGAGCCTTGTAGTGACGTCACAACTCACAGACTGTATTTTATGACGTACAAAACACCGAACGCTCCGTCATTACGTGTATATACGTATACGACGACGCATAGACATAAGTCAACGTGCGTAAAACGCCGTACCCGATATTATAACACATACAGGCTTGTTTTTGAATTCAATAATTGTATCGATCCAATGTGAATCTTTAAAAATATAATCAATATCGATTTTAACGATAATATTGAAAAGAATAGCATTTTTTATCGAAATAAACATTTTACTAATGATTTATAAGTTAATATTAAATAATCGCATTAGTAAATATTTTTTACTATGATATTTCAGAATTAAAAATTCTGTGATTGCGTTCGGCAACTATCATTTGAATGCTTTAGCATTTACATTATTAACGTTCGTATATGAACATTCTTTATTTACAAAGCCGACATGTTTTTTTTTTTATAGTATCTAATTGTTACAGAAATATTGTTTAATATAAAACTATATATTTCTCGGCGGCGTTTATCTGCTTCTATGCTCGGTGTGAACGATCTCTGAAAATTAATATTTCAAAATTGAAATTTGTCGTACTGAGATAATACTCTTGAATAATTCCATTACTTTTTAGATGATAGGATTAGACTTTCAACCATAAACTAATTTATTCTATTTTAGAAAGCTTACACACCTCCAAAGAAACGCAATTTTGGAAGCAGGGCCTCTAATGCTCAGATAACCTTCACGGAACTGAACTGATATTAACAAAACAATTCAAAACTTTCGAAGCGAATCTTAAAAACCGCTACTGTTGTTATAATATCATCGTTATGGACAGTAGCGTAGCTAGTTAACCTAGGGCCCTGGAACAAATAAAAAATAGGGCCCACTGCTCGAAAAAAAATCTTGACTCGAAGTTCACAATCGGGAATCACAAAAACGCATATCGATAAATAATAAAATACAGATATTGATATCCGACAAATTGATGAAAACATTAATAACACTGTCAACCCACACAAATAATTTAGGGGCATTCTCTTTTTATAACTTTGGAATTTCTTACAACTGAGTTGCCCTGATTAAACTCGAGTTGTCACCTGTCATATTTATTTTGAAAATGGGAGAAATTTTCAAAAGTTGAGTTCGATTGAGATTTTCTGGTAAAGGTTCGAGGGCCCCCTGAGCTTGAGGGCCCCGGGGCACTGCCCCGCCTAGCCCCTTGGTAGCTACGCCACTGGTTATGGAGACAGAGATTTGTCCATTCAGTAAGATAAGCCAGATATAATAAATACAATTAAATGATACATTCATTCGTTTGATTCAGTCTAATTTTACCTAACTTATTACATACAACTTGTACGAATTAATCACACATTAATTTCGAGTCGTTCTCATATTATTCTTAAAATTATATTCGTGAAGATTACCTGTGCTTCAGAGCTGTCAGATCCTACTTTTATAATGCATCCTACTTTTATAGTGCTTCAGAGCTGTCAGATCCTACTTTTATAATGCACCATAACAATTAGTAATTTTTTTGACTGTCACGAAAAAAATTACTAATTGCACCATAAATTATGTATTAAAATTTCGAAAATAGCATAAATTATGTATTTAAATTTCGACATTTTGTTTTCGGAGAAATATATTAGGTCCTCGGGTATAATGTTAATTCGTCCTAGCGATAGGCCGAATATTCGATAAGTATTCCGCGTATTCGGCATCTTTTTCACTTTTCGCATTCGGCCGAATTCTTGGCTACATGACACGGTATAGAACTAAAGGCCAAAAACTTATCAAATAAATAAAATTGATTTATTTCAAATACGGCCATAATGTTAGTAACATTTGTCTTATAAGCTATGTTAATTATATTCTATTGAAATAAAAATAATTATTATTATGAGACAGCTTTGTCTCTGACTAGATGGACGCTCTTTCAGTGCTGCATATGTAAGATTTAAATTTATGGAAATGAAATGAAAATATTTTTATTCAGGAAGGCTTATTACAAGAACTTTTGAATCGTACAAAAAAATTTTTTTTCCCTACTACTTGTTCAGGACGTCTTTTAGCTGACAAGAAGTACAAGCGAAAGAAACTTACCAGCTCTTTATCATAAGTAATGACATTTACATAAATCTCAAAGAACTCCTATAAAGAATGTATTGAATCAAACTAATAAAATAAACTTATTAAACTTCATATCATAAATATTTATTTTATAATTTATAATCAAAATTTATTTTAAATGACATTTCTTCTTCAAACTCAAATCGACGTTTTAAATTATAATGAATACACTTAAAGTGCAAATTTACAATAAACTTCAACAGATAAATATAAAGACAGAGAGCACTTAGAAACACTCTGATCAAATAAAATCAATAAAATGGGTAACCGAATAATGCGGTCGAATATCCGCTACGATAAATGTTAAACGGAATACTATTCGGTATTCGGTGCAACCACAAACGGGCGCATCTCTAATTCGCATGAGTTATTATATGTACTTACACTGATTTCATACAGCGAAAGAATAAAGTGGACATGCCTCAAATCCCGAGATTAATTTTAAAGAGCAGAAAAAATCCCGTGATTTTTTAAATAAAAAGTTATTTACTTTTACACAATTTAAACTACTGCACGCACGACGTTGCCTAACTTACATCAATGAAAGATAGAAATAAAGAAAGAAGAAATAAAGAAATCCCGGAAGGGTCCACATTAATATCAACATTTCGATGCAAGTACATAAATAACTCTACCTAATTCCGACCTCTGGTTATTATATACGAGTGCATAAATATAAATTCTCACCTTACCTGTTCCAGTTTGGTTATGTCCAGTGCGTACGTATACGCGTCGCCTACGTAGAAAGATACAGGCGATGGTAGTCGTTGGCACCGAAGGCCGCGTTACACTTGGGACACTTCCTCTGTCTCGTCTCGTAACGCGTACGCAAGCAGTCCCAACAGAACACGTGGAAACACTTCGTCAGAACGGCGTCTTTGCGTTTCACCTACGATATATGATAATAAAATATTTAATAACTATAGCTATATATAGAGTCGAATTTTGCAACAAACCGTCTTAATGAGTGTTCCACCCATTGTCACTTAACTAGGCATAGCCTAACTAGGAAACGCCACATATTTCGAATTGCCTAAGCAGATTAGTTTAATTTCAAATATTTTTTTTTTTTGACATGTCATATATGCAAATGTCTAGCGCAAAGCGCCGCATAACGAATATCATAACTTTAGACATTGATTAATTTCGTTAGGAGGTTTCTAGACAGTGGTGAAATGCATATTTAACTTAGGTGATTCCAAAATATTTTGTCGACGATTTGGGCGACTTCTAAGTTTAGTGAAAACGGACAGTAACGAAAGTTCAATCAAATTATCAACCCCAAAAATTACATCTTATGGGTTAAATTACGCAAAATCTCGTCTTAGTGTACTACGCACCTACGCCTACGTACTAAAAGTAATCATTCTTCTAGCACCTGTAGTAACGAAGTTCATATAAATTATCGACCCCAAAAACAACCTCTAAGGCTTAGAGGTTGAATTACGCAAAATCTAGTCTTAGCGCCTACGCTCTAAAAAAAATGCAAAATTAAAAACTTCTTACGAATGTAGTTTCTGAGATATCGTGATGAGTTACTGACCTTTCGCTGTTACATAGATAAGATGAATTCACTAGAAACGATCCAGAGCCGTAGCTACCGCCGTATCAATGATACGGGGCCCTCGGGTTACAGACGCCCTTAACGTGTGTAAGCAAAAAATATTACCCTCTATTTGGACCCTCAATTAATTGGATACAGGGCCCCTTCCAAGGCACGCTACGCCACTGGAAGGACCATTTAAATTAATCTCATAACAGGGGAGAAAGCTGCTCATTAATCCTGCTTCAAGAACATGTGGATAACTTTACATGAAAATCCATTATCTTTGATTATCCTAGCTATTTTCTCAGATAAAAAAGTTTGCGAATGATACTATTAGTCTACATACATTTCAAGCAACTTTTGCAAAGGCCAGTTATATGATGGGTGACCAAAAATATATTTTCTCAAGTTCCTACGTGTCTTTAAAGGCACATAATGTCGTTATTCAAGGTTGCATCTGCAGCCGTTAACACCCACTCATCTGATGATAATGATTTCATATGGGATTCAATTTTTGGTCGATAACTACACAGTATAATTGAAAAAATAAATCACCTTGCAAGAGGGGCAGGTGAGGGTTTCCTTGTATTCCCTGATCTCTTCAAGTAGTACATCGTCCATACTGCTTCCTGCCTGCTCCATTTTCTTCATGCGTTCCGCTTTGCGACGTAATATCGCTAACTCCTCCTAACGTAACAGCACATTACCGCACAAGTTAATTATATTATGTTTACTTATTTGTTACAACGACTCCATCAAATATAAATAGTATATGACCCTGGAATCACAATTTTCAAACGTAAACTTCAATAATGTGTTTGTTTGAAATGTAAAAAAATATTTTTTTTTTCAATGTCTTCATATAATCCTAATTATTTTGTCATCGCTTATTTATCTGATTTTAAGTACACATAAGAACAGCAAATTTTTAAAATTTATCCTCAGTACATTAAGCTATAAAATAAAGTGGAAAAATTGGAGATTTTTGTATAAACTAATATTAGGGTTGCCAATTTTTATTAGAAAAAATAGAATAATATGATTTCAAGAGAGATAGAGTACGAAATTGTGGCAATTTCTATCACACGCTACAATGACCGACGGCAAGACGGAAACTTTTTTTTTTATGGGCCCCTATCCCATTTTTTTTTTATGGCAGACGAGCAGACGGATCACGTGATGGTAAGTGATTACCGTCGCCCATGGACACCTGCAACACCAGAGGGGCTACAAGCGCGCTGCCGGCCTTGGAGGGAAGGGTTGAGGGGTAGAGGGAAGGGAATAGGGAGGGTTTGGGCCTCCGGTACCCTCACTCACACGACGAAACACAACGCAAGCGTTGCTTTACGTCGGTTTTCTGTGAGGCCGTGGTATCACTCCGGTCGAGCCGGCCCATTCATGCCGAAGCGTGGCTTTCCCACGGTAAAAAACTTCCAAAATACATAAAATAGACAATGATAACTACACTAAATTCGTATTACTTCCAACCTACATCGGTTGGTCCGAGGTCTCTGAGCTACCAACACTGAGCTCAGAGAAAAACAATTTCCCTTTAATCTCTTTACCTAATTGCTACCTCCAAGTAGTGCCATAACCACCTTCCGCTCCTAGTCTTATAAAAAAGACTATTATTTCTTTTCTGTCTAAAATATCTTCTTTTCTTATCATAAATGCGTGACTGACACTAGTAAAATAAATATTGTGAAAAAAATCAGAGTATTTTAACGTCCGCTATATCAGAGTATATTAACGTACATGATATACATATAGTGCAGACTGTAAGATATTACCTATTTTATTACAATTGATCTGAAAAATATCTCACATGTAATCTTTTTGTTTTGTATGCTTCAGCTTCTAATGCACTTGTTTTCTCTGCTACCACCTGCTGCGCTTCCTTCATCTGAGCGTGGTACTTCTCTGTTAAACAATAATACAATATCAGAACATAGCTACACTGACAAATTACAATCAATACATAGATATAACATAAAGTTAAATTATTTTTTACAAGCAATTTTAATAAGTGTACACAACATAATTTAGAGCGAGATTTTGATTTTTAATGTCAACTTTAAAAACAATTTAAAAAATATATACTGCTGCATTGCAAAATTTTGTATTTTGGACAGGATAAACGATCAATTTAATCGTTTGTAAAACTATTAATGAAAGTGGTGCCAGATGAGTGCCCTGAGGGATCCCGGAGGTGACAGGGATAGAAGTGAATGTATAGTCTAAACTACCGAAAGTTTGTATATTTGGATGTTTTTTACTTGTTCACCCAAAAACTTTAAAGTTTTTCAATGATATTTGATATATGAATAATTCTAAGCCCGGACTAACATATAAACCACATTTTATTCTACTAAATAGTTCTCTATAGAAATATAAATCACGAATCCATTCATCCAGCCTCAAAACTCTCAAAGCCGAGTCAATTCCGTAGCAACATACAGTTAAAAAATATATTTTATATTGCCAAAAAAAAATACATAAATATTATATATATATTTCTCTAATATTGAATGAGAAACGTTAAAAAAATTATATTGACTATAGTTTATAAAATAAATATTTTTGATATCATAGGATTTTTTTAAACTTTTAATACAACATATCTCATACAATAGAAGTTTTGTCTTTTAGATCTATACCATTTTGCGTAGCCAAGAAAATGTAAGTACTCGAAGTAAATATATTTGGCACCAAAACCGAATTCGGCCAAATACAATAGATTACTCCAAATGCCGAATATCAAACGAATATTCGAGGCATTTCTAATAATAACAATTATATAAATTATAAAACATATAATATCTATCTATAATTGCATACTTTCATGGACAAGTGGTGATCTCTAACAAGTTTCCTAAATAATAATGCGCCGAATAATTCTGTTATAATTCTGGTATTCTTTTATTCGGTGAAACTACTATTCGGCGCATCTCTAGTTATTATATTATTAGTATTATGAAGGTATATTATAAAAATTTTAAATCATAACTAATTAACAATACGTATACAATCCACTACCCCATCATTAGATCTTATATATTTATCTCAATCCCAAGATTGCCTGAAAGAGATCAATTTCAGTGATAAGAATTTACGTCTCCTGTTTTCGTGATATAACTGTATTTTGTTTTGTGTGTACAATAAATTTTGCATTTACAGTGCCATACTGGAAAATATTTTTTATGAAAAGTGCTTAAAAAAAACCACATTGTCTCTGGTACACTGAGACAATGATTACAACATTATTCAATGCTTTTTGCGGATTCGAACCCACGACCATTCGCAATCCGGGCGACTGCTCTTACTACTGAGCTGCACAGGATCTAACAGAATTGATCAATTTTTCTAACACTTGTTACTTTTTTGCTACTACAAAGCGTATTTTCTGGCGTCATCAATCCACCCAAACAGTCGAAAGAAATATTTTAAACATTCGACAGACGAAAATCTGTTTTAATTATTATATTTAATCATATTTCCATTCACAATGCTACACTGGAAAATATTCTTAACGATTGAGCATTTTTCATCATCAATAATATATTTTATCTATCTATCTATCTGTTACGGACGGCGGCCACAGAAACACCTCCCCGTGACCTCACCCCCGCAACGAGTAGAGGGGTCTCGTCACGGGCGACAGCAACTGGAGCACCCCCCCGCATAAAGTGGAAAGGGCACCGATAGAACATAAAATTGTTAGTCTTAATACCGCGTTATCATAGTAGCTAAGTGCGATCGACCAAATGCCACTTAAGCGAATAAGAATTATACATAAGCACGCCTACGAACGTTTTCGTAGGCGTTCGTAGGCACTCGTACGTAAGAAGTGAGAAGATAAACATCGTCAACACCTCCGAGAACTATAATCTCCATCCCCCACACTAACTTTGAATAATAGTGTAACGGTGTGCCATGCCACCGTTTGTTTTCCTAGGTTTCAGTATGCAAACTTTTTGAAGTTTTTGAAATTCAACATCATTTCATTTTATTATTCGTCTTTCGTAATTTAAAATTTTGACTAATCAATTATACTCTTTATGGATGTCAGTTCGTAAGAAATTCTCATATGCACAAGATGAAATTATAATACAATACAATATTAATGGTATAAATTTTACTATGTAATTTTAAAATAATTCATTTATTGTGATAAATAATGTGATATGGTGATACAAATTATATAACATATGTAACTACTAAATTGTAATCTGTATTTTGGACGTTCCAAAAGTTAACTAGAAGCCCGACAAGGGTTTTTTATTATTACCCTTATTTAACTAATAAATATATACTCAAGCTAAGCAGCCTTATTAATTGACCCAAGCACCGAACCCGTAACAATAGTTATTTAAGATACGAGTGTGGAAAGTAAGGTTTTACGAATAAGGGCCAAATTGAAAACACGAGCGTAGCGAGGGTTTTCATTGGCACGAATTCGAAAAACCTTTTACGCTCAAGTTCATTACAACATTATTCAATGCTTTTTGCAAGGAAATAAAACAAATATATAGGTTAATAAAACTAAGTATGTATTAAAGGTAAAAGTTATTTGTTAAAATTAAACGTGATATTTGAACATGTTTTCATGTCATACATTTTAATTTGAAAATATTCGTTCTAGGCCCCTTGAAATACTTTTGCCTCTAAAGTTTGACATATTTTCATCAATTTTTTTAAAATTTCTTTAGTGCTCGGCCAAAAAAAAATAAAAAAAGCACTTTTAAGCACGTGTGCAGTAAAGGATTTCAGTACATTTTTACTTAACACGTATATCGTACGACGTTTTTTAACACATTTGCGAGGAAACAGAAAAAAAAAAAAACATTAAATAAATTCAATCTGTGAATGTAAACTGTTGCTTTCCCGCCATTTTAACAGCGCGCTAGCGCTGCCTACTGACTGGCGCCGCGCGGCGATTAGTTCGAAATTTGAATAGCAACAGCGCGCGAAATGGCAAATAATACTGTTATGGAATTTGTATGGACTATAACTTAACTTTTTGCTTTGGTAACACGCGTTTTTTATGACCGGTGCTTTTCCTATTTAATACCGGTGAAATTACATCAGCTTTACGAGCAAAGGTGTTAAAAACACATGAACACATTACCCAGATGCAGCTTGAGATCGGCGGCGGACTGAGCGGACTCGATCGCCTTCCGCTTGTGCATCTCCATCGCCTGCTGGCGCAGCAGCAGCTCCTTCTCCACCGCGGAGAGCGTGGCCTGCAGCAGCCGCTCCTTCTCCTCCAGCCGCCGCGCCACGCCGCCCATCGACTCGATCTGCTGGTCGCGAGTCACCACCTACAACGGGACACCCCCTAGATATACTTCTATTAACCGCGTGCCGTTTTCAACGACTTCGCTCGCGCAAATAGAGGTTACTACGAGACACACTTCCATTAACCACGCGCTGTTTTCACGGAAGTTCGCTCATGTAAACAGAGATGACAGGGTAAAAAAAATGCAATTCTATTTAGTCCGTCAGTCAGATAATAGAAAAATATTAGATACGTATTTTTTTTTACTTCAATTTAACGAGAAATAGCTTAGATAACAGGCATTAAATTTGAGGAGTGGGGGCTTGCTACGTCACAGTTTTGTAGAAAACATACCATAGCGTGACGTCATGCGAAATTTCAACTCAATGTAACGCCGTAATTTTATGATTACAAAAATATTAAAAATACGTGTTGAATATTTTTAACACTCTACCTGACGGTCAAACAAACAAAAATTAGTCGTCATCCCTAATAGAGATGACAGGGTAAAAAACAAAACGTGTAGTCCGTCAATCAGATAATAGATACGTATTTTTTTTCTCGCTTCAATTTAAACAAGAAATGGCTTAGACAATAGGTTTTAAAGTTAAGGAGTGGGCGCTCGCTACGTCACGACTAAGTAGAATATGTACAAAGGCGTAATGTCATACAACATTTCAACTCAAAGTATGATCGAATTTATTTATTATGCAAAAAATATAAAAATACGTGTTTAATATTCTGCAATAATCTCACCTGACGAACAAACAAACAAAAATTAGTAACCATCCGTATTATGATAGAGATATATAATAGCTATAGCTATACCGCGTTATCGGAGGTGCAGTTTGGTAGATACACGTTATAAGAGATGAGTAAGAATAATTTATGTTACGATATTGTTATATTAACTTGCTATGATAAATAATATGGATTCTTAAAAATAATTTTAATTTGGTAAATACATACTTACTCAGAATCGCTACTAGAAAAAAAAACTGTATTTTCCGATTCGCTGCTCTAGACCAAGGTTAATTATAAAATCCGATTCCATGACAGAAAAAGTTCTCTGTGAACACATGTTGCTGAATAATGACTGAAATGTCACGTCACTATCACACAAACGAAAGCTGCTAATTTCTTAAACATAGTTAATTTCTTCACCTGTTCCTGCAGCAGCTGTTTCTCCTCTCGCAGCAACTTATGCAAGGAATTAGCCTTGATCCTCTCGGACATCAGCTTGAAGTTGGCATCGTCCTTCTCTCGCAGCTGCTGTATCAACCGGGAGTTCTGCTCCTGCATGTCCTCGAATGCTTGACCGGTCACCTCCATCTCGTTCAGGAGAGCTTCCTCTTCCTTATAATAAAACATTAAGTACTAAATAAGAAACAGTATTTCGATACACATCTAAAATTACTAATACGGATGACGACTGGGTAAAAATAGGAAAGTCTATTTAGTCCGTCTGTCAGATAAAAGAAAACTATTGGTTGGGTTTTATTTTTCTTCAATTTAAACAAGAAATAGCTTAGACAACAGACATTAAAGTTGAGGAGTGGAAGCTCACTATGTCACAGTTTTGTAGAATATGCGACATGCGACATTTCAATCGCCGTAATTTATTGTTTCTTTTTTAAATATAATAAATAAATATTATCAATTACTTTCCATTTAAGGGGCCTCAGAAAAGAAAAGAACAGAATTATATGTAATACTGATATATTCTTTAATGTCAACGTAATATAGTAATTGACATCTAATATTAAAACAATCCAAATAACGTAATATAGTCGAGTCGCCAATCAGTGAGAATTTCGTATCTGGAACTTTGTGCTTATTGATAGTTATCATACACATTTTAGGTTTATTTTACTGTGACAAAGTTGGCTAGATGCATCTGTGCGAGAGCAATAACACAATATGTTTGCGCATGACTGAAAGAGATATGTAATGCCGGGTAAAGACTTCTAGATGATTTCCAAACCAATGTAAATAAGCAATTAAGAATTCTTATGGGTCGAAGAGACTATTTTTGCAAACTATTTCTTTGGCTCATTCGTTCGTCTGTAAATCATTACTTTATCAACCAATGTCTATTTCAAAAAGTCTTGCAATCACAAGGCCGATAATACTGCATGTCCTGCTAAAAAAATGGCAGAAATTAGATATCAAATCAAATCAAAATCAAATCAAATTCTTTATTGGCCTTGTAACAGAGAATGTTTCACTAGGTAAGTCATTAATATACATTCATTGTCATTTAAGAATATGATATAAACTGTTATAATGTCATGATTATTAATAAATATAAAATAAATTATTTCAAATATAAGTATGTGTAGAATTTCAATAATAATATTAAAAAAAACATGATTAAAATAAATTGGCATTAAATTATTAATTCAATCGGATATTATTTCTAACGTTACTATCATTTAAAATCTACGAAAATGAGGATTCAGTCAATGGCATATTAATAAATTCTGTAAGTGTATAAAAGGCATTTTTTTCAAAGAACATTTTAATTTTTCTTTTAAACTTATTAATCTCTAAATTTATTATTGAAATTGGTAGTTTATTGTACATAAGTAATTTATTGTATTTTCCTTGTTTTTGTACTTTGGTGAGTCGCACCTTAGGTAATATCAATTTGTGTTTGTTTCTAAGGTTATATTTGTGTATATCCATGCTTTTGACATAGCTTTCCCTATTTTCATGAATTTCTAATAAGCATTTATATATGTACAATGATATTACAGTCATGATTTTATATTTCACAAAATGCTTCCTTGCTGATTCCCTTCTTTTAATTCCAGCTAAAATTCTTATTGCTCTTTTTTGTGCTATGAGTACTCTTTTAGCTTTAATGCTGTTTCCCCATACTGTTATGCTATAACTAATTAGAGAATGCACATACGCGTAATAAATCGTTATCATAGTTTGACTGTCAGTAAGCGGTTTTAATTTTAAAAGAGCATAGTTTGCACTTGCTAGCCTTTTGCATAATCTTTCAATGTGAGGAAAATGGCTCAAAGTATAATCAATTATATGACCCAAAAATAAATGTTCTTGCTTAACGTCATTTTTATGTACACGTGATTTATGTTTAATTATAATACTTTTGTGTGTATTTAGCACAATACCATTAGCCAGAAACCAGTCTTTCAAGTTTTGTAACACTTCGGTAATCCTTTCATCTAATGCGTACTGTATATCTTCCTTCACTCCAACAAAAGTGTCATCTGCAAATAGATTTACGAAAGCCCAATCGGATAGATTACTGGTAAGATCATTTATATATACAAGGAATAAAACAGGGCCTAACATTGAACCCTGCGGTATACCTATAGTCAGATCAGCACTGTCCGAACGTACTCCGTCTACTAACACTATTTGTTTACGATTTTTTAGATAATTTATCATCATTTTTAGTTCTTTACCGTCAAAACCATAATATTCAAGTTTTTTTATTAATATATCATGTCTCAAACAATCAAAAGCCTTTGACAAATCACAATATATACTGGCGCATTTTTGCGACTTATCTAGTGCATCTAATATATAATAATTAACATTTCGAATAGCCATTTCTGTAGATTTTTTCTTCCTAAACCCATATTGAGCATTTGAAAATAGATTATTATTTTCGAAAAAATTTACTATATATTCTTTTATTATATTTTCTAAAATCTTTGATATTGTTGGTAATATACAGATTGGTCTATAGTTATTTGTATCACATCTTTCGCCTTTTTTATGTAAAGGTATTTTAGTCCAATTTTCAATACATCTGGGAAAGTGCCCCCTTCAATGCATGCATTTATAACATTATGGAGTAAGTCAAATAATAAGTAATTTGACGAAAATATTTTTCTCGTTATAGATGTACTCATATCAAAAATATCTAGTGAGTGCTTGCTTTTTATATTTTTAATTATTTGGTATAGTTTAATTTTACTAACTGGCCTAAATTCGACATATTTTAATGTTTTTGTTGCGTTATTTAAGTATAATTGACATTTATCCATATCAATATTAATATCTTTTGTTATATTATTAGCTACATTTATGAAAAAGTTATTAAACGTATCAGCAACATCTTTTTTGTCATCTGTTATTTTATTATTATCATCCCTTAATACTATTTTAATTTTTTTATCATTATGCCTCTTTACTTTTATTTGTTCATTAATTATTTATTATTTACATTAACTCGAGTGATTATGAAAGCGCCTAATGAACATTAAGGTATACTTAATTAATACTTTTATTTGTTAATATATGTTAAGCAAGTTATATTGAATAATTATAGATATACTGAAATGTAAAATTAAGTTTTAATTTATGTAATACATATTATATTGCTTCGTTTACTTTAGTCATAGACTTTATAATATAATACAAATCAGAGACCTTTACTTAATTATCATATTATACATAATTAAATACTTTACGCAACATAATAATTTATCATTAATTAATTATTAGTCCTTTGTTTTCCTGACATACAGGTTACCCTAGTTCAGACTTATAAAAATATGATCTCTTTATGTATGTTTAGCATTTTTGTGTAACTAGGCTAATACGATTACAATAAATCATTATTATTATGTAAATAAGACCTAGGGAATAAAGATTCACTTTGAGAAAGCACATCAAATTTTACATTTAATTTTAAACCTTAATAGTTTGAATGAATGTAGAGTACAAATTTACTTGCGGATACTCGACATATTGTGGTAGCCTGACGTGTGTATATAATTATCTGTTTATTACAGCACATCAGATCCCTTGTGGGGGTGGGCAAGTAAGTATTAAACTTTATTTACATGACTAATATACCTGCGAACCAGCGAAAGGCCTGGAGAAAGCGTGCAGCGGATCAGCGTTAGGGCGAGCGCAGGAAAGCTGCTTCTGCAACTCATATTTCTGTTCCTCCAACTGTTTGATTTTCCTAAGCGCATCTTCATCGGCTAGACGACGTTCCCGTTTGCTTTCCTACAATTGTTTAGTATATTATATACACTACTGAACTGAAACTATATTCCTTAATTCAGAATCATACCTACTCGTTATAAGAAAAAGTTGAACATATAGTTAGTTATATATCATAGTAGAGGACTTTGAAATCGTTGGAGAAGAATTTTTATTAAATCAGTTTTTTTTTGTTTTTTGGTTAGGTTATATTAGAAAAGTGATCAGAAATTTTCTGTCTTTTCCGCAGTGTTCTTTTACGTACACTCCACAACCCATGAAATCATTCCAATCAGTTTCTTATATCACAAGACAGAAATTTTTCTTTTTCAAAATAAAATTATAGCCTTTTTTATTTCATGTTAATATAATCTTTATTTTATTTAGATATTTTGTAATCAATCATGAATTTTTGAGTTTTTTTTTTTTGAGAAAAAGAATTCAAGAACTATCTTTAAAATATTACTAGCCTATTCAATCAAGTAAGATTTAGCTTCCCGTTAGCTGAAAGAATTTACATGATCAGATCATACTTCCTAAAATCACTTCCTACAAAACAAACAAACAACGTTAGAACATTTACCTCTTTATAATATTAGTATAGACAATAATTAATTATACAGGGTACCTGTGCCATTTTGGCCTTTTGTCTGTGGTCCTCCAGTTCCTGCCTGGCCTTCCGCTCGGCGGCCATCAGTTGCACTTTGTCTCGCTGTTCCTTACTCACGCCCTTGTACATATCCAGCAAGAGTTTCAATTCTTTCTGCTCGTTCACTGCCTTCCTACAAATTAATATAAGAATTAATTTATTTCATATAAATATTATATATATATTTTTTAATATTTACCAACCTCCTTTTAGATAAAAAGATCTAATATATAAGTAACATAAGTTTGCAATTTTTTTTTTTTGTAGAGACTTGATTTTAATATTATAGAAAATATGTTACTTGATGATTTTCAATACATAGATGTATAGTTGATTTTATACTTATTTTTGGTGATCTTACTAGTATGAAATGAGCTTATTTTTATTCCTTAAATCTGGACTGGATATGATAATACAACAAAACTTTATGGATATTTCATGAACACACAATGTAATTACGCTTTTGTAATTAATATAACTTAATAGGATTGCTCACACATCAGAACGATTTGAAATGGCAACGTGCGTGTTATAAAGCTACACGAATTCCTATAACGAGACAAAAACGTGTCATCACGATTGAAAATCATTTTTGTTTTGATATGCATCATTCCGTAAAGCTAAGTGAATATACAAATATAATGTAGTTTAGTACTTTAGCTGCAGCTTGAGATCCTTGATGAGTTGATCTTGTTCCTGTAGCTTGGCTCGTGCCAATTCTTTGGCACCTGGTTTATTATCCGTGCAACTGCCTTCCTCACCCTGACACATAAATGTAACAATCATTTTTAACATACGACAAAATATTACATTTAGAGTACTAGGGACAAGTGGATTTTTAAGCATTTCCCATTAAGAATATTTTATATTAATAAAATAGATTGAAGTATATTTCATTTTTGCAAAATTAACTTTCGATAATCTGTGGATTACAAAAATCAAAACACGGGCGGCCATGACAGTGTTTTCCAACGTCTTTGTTGCAAGTGCAACCATTATGAATGAAATAAGACGTCACGGCTTAAAATGCCGCGCGACTGATCATTTTCGCGGGACTATTTAATTAAAGAATATCTGTTTTAATAACAATTATATTTGTCAGTAGCACTTTTTGAAGAATAATAAATCTGATAGTGGCCTAATATGATCATATGAAAGTTCCCGAGACAGTCAATTGGTCACACCACGAAATAATGTATAATTTCTATCACTCTGTTAATAAATAAACCTAAAATTAAATAACCAAAACACGCGAAATCATCGCACTCGTTAATGTAGGTAATGAATAGTGTTTGCACTATTGTCTAGAATGTTTTTGCTAGGATTATGTATGGAATCAAGTACTCTTTCGTCAAATTTCGTATCCCTTTGTAAGATAGCGCCCCTAGGCAATGAATAATGTTTGCACTATTGCCTAGTGTTTTTGCCAGGATTATGTAGCAAATCAAATACTCTTTCGTCAAATTTCGTATCCCTTTGTAAGATAGCGCCCCTAGGCATATGCCTAGCTTGCTTGCTCACCTCTGGGTCGGGTTCTTCTTTTTTGACAGCTAATGGTTTCTCCTCTATAGTTTCAGTACCGGTACCGCGACCGGCTACCTCTTCCATCTCTTTACGTACCTACAACAATCAAATATATATGAAATAAAGAAATTAAGTATTTCCAACAGAACTGACAATGCCAATAGCGCTCTAGTGTATCAAAGTTAAGGGCACTTAAATACAATTGCGACGGTTCTCTTTTTCAGTTAGCAATTAATTATTGACAAGCAACGGCATGACAGGCATACACCAGGTGTCTGGATTGAGTATTTAAAGTTAAGCGCATCTTAAACTGTACTCAAATATCTACCTTAATATGTATACAGATATTTATATTGATAAAATAATACATTTCATCGCCATGTCTTAGCAGTCTTAAAGAAGAACTGATTATTATTGGCGTTGGCGTGGCCTTTGAATGGGCAAATTTATTGTACTTATTGATTGTCTTGGTGGATTGTGACATCACAAATATAGTACAGCAATTCTATCCATGTCTATTTGCAATACATATTATTTATCTATTTGCAATATTAAATATTGGTTTTTCTATCTCAATAAAATATTGTAATATTTTATTAGTTCTTACAAATTAGAAGGCCTAGGCTATTTCTCGGATAACTAAGTTTCGTCTATTTCCGAACCGCTAATAGGGACTCCAAAGATAAATTTTTTGATAATTTATGATGCTACTGAGGTAAGACCTGACACTGACTCTGATGCACAGATAATCTTCATGAATATGATTTTAATAAAAATATGAGGACGATTTAAATTATCCAAATTTTCATTAATTGACAAACAGTGTAGGCCCTCAGCTTTATTTTAACCATTTGACATACCTTATTTAGTTCCTGACTAGCATCTTTATATTTTCGCTTGTATCTGTGCACCTCACCCTTCAGTTGCTGATTGTGGTTTTGTAGTGAAGTGATAAGATGTCGCATCTCTCTGTTTATAGGGCCAGTCTGTTCGTTTGCAGCTAAGTTTTGTTCAAACTCTATACGCAACATTTCATACTCTTTCCTTAATTGACCTAAAACATCTTCCAATTGGATCATTTCTGCTCGTAGAGCTTTCTGCCTGCCTAGCTCTTCGCTCTAAAAAAATAATGTAAATATTAGAACACCCAATTATGAAAGTATTTCCATGCCTTAATCAAAAGGTATTATGCTATTATTTACTATACTCGCAATATATAAAAAAACTAAGTAGGTTCAGCGAGGTTGCTGATGTTTTAGAGTTAAAGCAAAAACCACTGATTTGGTTTAAAAGAAAAAAAGAAAATTAAATTGGCTGTTTGGTATTCACCTCCATCATCTCTATTTGCCTCATGTGTAGATTCTTGGCGTTCTGCAGCTGCAAACGAGTCTCGTCGAGAGCGGTCTTCATCTGCATAGACTCGTTGTAGAGTACCGAGAACTGGCTCTGCAGACACTTGTACTCCGTCGTCTCCACTATAACCGACTCGGGCAGCTGACGGATCTTAATTATAAAAACGATAACAAAAATAATAGTTATAAAGTTAAACTAAACTAATATTCATCATGAGCATCAGCCTATTGATGTCCCAAGTGCTGGGGCCTTCACTATGGATGGAATCCAACGAAATCAAATATGGAGAACGAAACATGACATATGTGACCAGATACCCAAGTCTGAATGGTACCGTCGTGTTCGTGTTAACGACTGCAGAAGCTGCCGAGATGGATGGACGGGAGAACGACTTCTATATATTAATTTATCTATGGATATATAATATTGATCCCTTATATTGAACTTTTCGACACCTTCGACTTGATGGTGTAGCATCAACTCGGGCTTTGACTGACCATAGGTCTCGTCCACTTACATGATCGTTCCATATGTTCAAACAAAACAATATTGAAATTGTTTCGGATCATTAAATCCGGAAACCACGCGCGCGGGCCCGCATGGTGAGTCATTCGATTGGATTCTATTCATAGTAGGACATTAATAGACTGGTGATGATGACACACGTCATTATCATTAAAAGGTAATTTTCATCATCAACCTCAGCTTTTTAACGTCCCCTGTACAGGGGATCAGGCCTTCCTTATGGATGATGAAGGAGAATGGGCCATGACCCTCAACACAGGCCTAATGCGGATTCGAGACCAACGGCTTAACGTGCCCTCCAAAGCAGTTGTTCGAGATGATATTTTTTGATCACCCATTCCGTGACCAACCCGCGGGCCGGTGCGCTTATCCACTACGCCGCCGAGCTACTCATAGGTCGTTTTATAACTAAACAAAACACTCACGTCCATCTTGAGCTTCTCGACCTCCTTGAGCGTGTCGCGATGCTGTCGATGCAGCCGGTCCAGCTCAGCCAGCCGATTGTTGGCGAGCTCCCGCTGCTCCTCGAGTTCAGCGGCGATGTCCTCGAGCTTGGCACTGGCGGCCGAGTGCGGGGCGGCCGGCGCGGGGCCCGCGCTCGCGCCCGACTGGTGGTAGCTCTTCAGCTTCTCGATCGCTTCAGCCAAGTGGTTCTCCAATTTATCGTTACGAGACCGTACCTATATAAAAACGTGTACTCTCACTATATCTCTCTATAGTCCGATCGACGAACAGAGAAAATTTCGTACAACGACCTGGCATTAAATCTGGCAATTTTGTCGTAATTCATAATAAAGTAAACCGAAAATGTCTCGATATCTAGACTGCTAGAAAGCAGTAGACTTAAAGGTCAACATAAGAAATTCTCTGTTTGGTGACTGGACTATCAGTATATCTAAGGAGTTCTCGGACTATATATAAGTAAACAAATATCAGTCTATCTATGGAGTTCTCGCAGCCGACCGATGAGCGCGTCTAGACAAAGAAATCGTAGGGGATACTCACGTTATAAAGGGTATGTGTGGTTTTTGTGTTAAAAAGTTGCCATATACTCACTTGGGATGTATTGATCAGAACTAATACATTAGTAATATTGCTATTGTTTAAACAATGGTACATTACTTATTTATACTCTAATTACGCCTACATTCACCAATAATGACAATATGGTATATGTACAGTCAAGGGCAAAGATATATATGTCACCGGAAAATAACAAAAACTGTAAATTAATAAATTTCCTGGGAATTTTTTATAAATTATTAATACAATACAATATTTTTAAGTATATGTAAGTCAAGATCAAAGATATAGATACAAGTAGTCCATGGACATTTATAAATTTACCACAAGATTGCCAATTGATAAATGATGGACGTAAACTAATACAATTTATTTCTCATTTAGAATCCTACAAAAGTTTATACTTTTGTCAGTCATTCATAGACAAAATATTGAATTTACTCTAACCTTCATCAGCTCATATTGGAGATCATCAATTTGATTTTTTAACTCTGCATTCTCTGTATCGCGACTGTTGACAGCATCCTGAAGCTGTGCCACCCGGAGCGTCATGGTGTGATGGTTTTCGTGTAATGTCGTACACAGAGCCTGAAGACGACGATTCTCAGCGGTCACTTCTTCATTAGTGGCACGCACTACTTCATCCAAAATTGGAGCAGGTGCACCTTCTATTTACAAATAAATTTCTAACTTTAGGAGACTAAATAGCCTATTTAAGCTAATATGTATCTTTTATTTGCTTTAAATTAAAAAAATATTGAATAGATCCACCAATATTTACATACATATTCGTTTAAAATTAGGTCAATGATATCTAGTAAAGTATTTAATAAAAAGCACTTTTTATTTATCAAATGTCACCATTTCAATAGAGTTATAAAATTCAGTTTAGTTAGTTCAGAAGTATTAATTAGCCCATAAAAATCTGATTCATAACAAAAAAAAATGAAATACCTTCTCCTTCACCCTTGATTGCTCTCCATATCTTATCATTTCTCTGTTGCAACCTATCAAAGGCCTGCAGCACTTTAGACACTGCCCGCTTACTAACTTGCACACGGTTTGCTAACTGAGCATCAAGCTCTTCTTTATCCCATGTGGACAGTTGCATCAAAAATGATGTGGTTGCTTCATTTTCATCTAATGCACAAAAGGAAAAAAACATATTTTTAATTGATACTGTCTCCAATTTTGATAAAAGTTATTTGCAATAAAAATAGTCAAATAGTTTACTTATTTTTTTGTGGTTGAACAACTGGTATTCTAAAATAATTTCCAGCAAAAGTACTATTCAAATTCAGACCAATTTAACAAGAATTAGTTTTATTATTTAAAAAATATAATGAGGCCATGCCATAAACATATAGATCATTACAACTGGCAAATAACAATAGAAACAATCATACCAATTTCTTGTACTGTGATGTCTGTATCCATTAAAAAGTTATACAGTTACCAAGTTTGTAAAAAAAAAAAGAATATAAGCAATAAATTTTATCTTACTTTTATTCTCAGACTCATCAGCAGTCTCCGCATCAAAGCGTTGCAGCAGGACTCTTATGTCCTCGTTTAGTAGATTCCAATATCTATTTACAACACACAACACAGCATCGTCTTGTGTTTGTCTTTTTTCTAGTTGTTCTATCCTTGCTCTGAGTTCAGCTTCACATCTGTGTCTCTGTTCTATTCTCTGTGAATATTTAATTTATGATCAACATCCAAATTTAGACAATATAAATGGCTCAATTAAACAGAAGCATGAACAATGCATTATTAGTATTATCTAATAAAATGCCATAACTAACATACGCTTAGCTGCTTGCTGCAAGCCAATTCTTTTGTTTATGTAATAATTGCATTTCAATAGAATCACAAGTACTTACATTTTGTCATTGTACTAGCTATCTGGAGTTTAATATTATTATATATCTGTCAACATTGATTTGTAAGAAGATAATGTGTGTAGATAAATAATATAAATATTAAGTTTATAACTTACAATCACTTTCAAATTCAATACATATTTAAATGTGATAACTGTTACTCTGCTAAAGCTATAATTTTTTTATGGTTATTCAGTGAGTCAAAATCTTTATAGTATCTCACATTGTATAATTTTGAATAAATGTATGAAATATGCATTTTTCTTTTACAATTACAAGGTTATCTTGTTTGAAGATTAGTTCTGTTTTCATTAATGTGTCAGGTGAACAGAGTCAGATTTGGCTTTTTTCTTTTAGGCATAAAACTAACAGTTTTTATAGCTTTGTATTCCTTATAAACTGACCAAACCTTAAAAACATACTAATGACAAACAGCTGATTTTGTACAACAAAATATTGTTTACGAAATAAGAATCAGCATACAGGTTAGGAGTGTTGTTGGTAATTATCACCTGTGCCAGCTTCTTGTTCTGAAACTGAAGGACTTTTATATCCATTTCTTCGAGAGTGGACACTGGTCCAATAAGATGTGGCTCGAAGTGAACTTTTTTGATCGGCGGCTGGCTGCTGCTGCTGCCATTGCCACCGTCTTCTGCTGTCCGCTTCGACATTTTGAACCTATAACTTAGAAGGAACTACGGTTATGAGATACTTTGTGCATTTATTTATGAAGTTCGATGCTATCGATTAGGCAACCCACACAAATTCTGTAGGTTACTAATAATACGTCATGTTTTCAGCATCAATGTTAATTTAATTTCTCCGAGTTATCCTTACCTGCTTGTCAATATTGACACTGGGAAATAAGCAGTCTTAGTGCCAGTTACCAATTATGTACAGAAAACATTGAATCATTAAATGAAACTTTCATTTTGGAAATATAGTTAATTACATGGGAATAAAAAATAAAAAATGTTTTATTGCAAGTATTCCTCTTTCCAGTTCTCCCACAGAGCAAAGCACGACCAAAAAGCAAAGCATAGAGTAATTAGAGATGAAAGATACGCGTAAATACAAGTAATTACTCGATACTTTAGAGTCAAGGAACGAGTAGTATCATGAAGTACGTATTTGTAGCGCTACTTGGTCTCTTAAGGGGGGTTTACACGGGTCGATTTTCGCCGTGCGGCGAGTCGTTTCACTAATTGCCTCACCAAGCCGCATCGCTAGCCCATTTACACTGGTTACTAAAATCGCATGCGGCTCTGTCATTTCCATCGAAAATGTTGAGCAGAATAGCCATTTGTGCCGGAATTGAAATAATTAATTATTCAATTATTCAACAATTGCTTAAAGAACAAAGAGTGAAGAAAAAACAAAAGGAAAGAAGAAAACGTAATGTTTGGGTACGTGGATGGATTTCTCGACGTAAGGACTTGGGTGCTTCGGATACTTTATTGGTTGAGTGGAGTTTAGAAGATCCTGATTATTTTAAAAAACGATTAAGAATGACTACTGATCAGTTTAATACTTTACTACATAAGGTTACTCCGCTTATACAAAAATGCGATACCAATATGCGAGTAGCACTTTCTCCGAAAATTAAATTAGAAATAACTCTGAAGTTCTTGGCCACCGGTGATAACTATTCAAGTCTTGCAGAGTCATTTAGAGTTCCAGAATGCACAATTTCCTTGTTTTTGAAGGATGTTTTGGATGCTATATACAATGTTTTACAGGAGTTCATTATGGTAAGTGAAACTAGTAATTAATTATAAACGATTTATTTATAAATTTTCCATTGTGTTTTCATCTAAGCATGACCTAACAGCTTGAGATAGAATATCGTCGTTCACTCCGTATTGTTGCCCAGTATTTTCTTGTGTAAGTAAACAGCTGGCAAAATAGTCTTCTTCATAATCGAGGTGCCTTCTAGAAGTGGAAGCTTCGGGAGTCGAAGTTTCACGCTGGTTTTGAAAAGCTTGGTTTCGGGAAGTAGTAGCTTCGGCTTCTGGAGTCGAAGTATAGCGTGTATACTCTGAGAGTGAACTCGTAGGTCTAGCAATTGGAAAATGTTGTGTATTTAAGGTTTTCAGTCTTTCTTGTGACAAATAATTATTGATGAAATTTTGACAAACAATAGCATTTCTTAATGGTAAACTACGTAATTGGCTTGCCACATGTACTCCGAATGTATCAAATTCATCTTGACGGATAGTTTGAGCCAAAGTTTCTAATCTATTAACTGCTTGTAAAACAGGTGGGTCCATTTTAGGTGCGTACATTAGAGCACGCTCCGCCTTTTTCTTTGGAGACAATTTTTTTTTCTTTTGTAAGGGCGCAATATTATCTTATTGTTCCAATTCATCAAAATATGAAGACACGTCGCTGTTTGTGTTCACCGTTGAATCTTTTCCCTGTAACCATACACTAATATAAGTTTATTTCTTTTAGGTGCCATCCACCACAGATCAATGGAAGAAAATACAAAAGGATTTTTTAGATCGCTGGCAATTTCCTTTTTGCTGTGGGGCTATTGACGGGAAACACGTATTCTAATCGAAAATCCACCACACGGAGCATCAGACTATTATAATTACAAAGGCACTTATAGTGTGGTGTTGTTTGCTATAGTGGATGCACATTACCGTTTCATATATATAGATTTCGGAACTAATGGACGCATGAATGATTCGCATATTTGGAAAAAAACAAAGTTCTATAGTGCCCTTGAAAGAAATAATTTAAAACTACCTAATAAGGCAGTTTTCGTTGGTGATGATGCTTTCCCTTTGGCAACCTATTTAATGAAACCGTATTCAAGACATGAAGGTTTGGAACACAAACAAAAAATCTTTAATTACAGACTATCAAGAGCACGCCGAATCGTAGAGAATGCCTTTGGCATAATGGCTTCACGATTCAGAGTATACAGAAAACCTATATCTGTTTCATTGGATAAAACTGATTCTATAATTAAAGCGACCTGTGCGCTGCATAACTGGCTTCGGACTAATCTCATATACATGAATACTCCCGAATTAGTAGACGGAGAAGACTTCAGTTCAGGGACAATCAGAAACGGAAGTTGGAGAAGCATTCCTACGGCAGGAGTAGACGAATTAATGACACCGCTATCTTCTAACAACTATTCACTAAATGCAAAAGATCTGCGCGATAGATATGCTGACTATTTTGTCGGACCAGGAAAAGTTTCATGGCAAGATAGAATGATTGCGTAAATATTGTATGTTTATTTAAGTAATATTATAAAAATAGCTCTGTTCACGATTTACCTATTATAATTTATAATATGCGAACAAGAATAACTATTTAATAAATAATAATAAGACTTACCATGTTATCTTTACTGTTTCTTCCTTCTATCACTGGCTTTAAAAAGCGGTCAGCTACAGAAAACCAAATTAATTGAGGTCTGTATATATCATCCTTTCCCGCGCCACTCTTCTTTGACTTTGCTACCTTACTGGCCTCTCTATTATACGTGGTTCGTATATTTTTTATCTTCAATTTAAGCTCTTCAACTGTTATGGACAAACGCATTTCTTGAATAATAGATTTAAGAGCCGCTAAACGTACATTATTGTTCCTGTAATCTTGTTCTCTTGGGTTCCATAAAAAAATAAATAAATAAAAATAAAAAAATAAAAAAAGCGTTTTATTTCTTACTATAAACAGTTAAGTAGTTTATGTGGATCTGTGCTATAAACTAAGCTAGTAAGAACCCCTCGTTCTCGAAGGTGAAGGCCTCCTCTAGAGACTTCCAAGCGTCTTTGTTTTTCGCTGTCTCCATCCACTGCTTTCCCGCCACCTGTATTATATCATCTGTCCAGCGGGCAGCTGGTCTACCTCTCTTTCTAGTGCCCGGTGGGCCGTTCCAACATGTTATTTTGTGAGTCCATCTATTATCTGTTTGTCTAGCTATGTGGCCAGCCCAGCGCCACTTTAATTTTTTACAGTGATGTAGAGCGTCAGTTACTTTTGTCTTATTTCTTATAGTCCTGTGCGATATTTTTTGGATTTTTTTAATTTTTAAAATACTTCTTTCCATACCTCTCTGACATGTTGTAATTTTGGATTTTACTCGATGTGTGAGTTTCCAGGTCTGGCTAGCGTAGGTTAAGGATGGTAGTATGCAAGAGTTCATTATCTTTTGTTTTATTATGATGGACATATTGCTCTTCAAAACTTCTTTTAGGCTCCAAAATTTTTTCCACGCACTTGAAATTCTTCTCTCTATTTCTTGTTCATTTCTCTGCATTTTAAATGAGATTTGCTTACCTAAATATATGTAGGTGTCAACATACTCTAGCGCTTCATTCTGAAGGTATACAGGATATTTAATATAGTTTGTCATAATGTTGGATTTGTTACGGTTAATTTCCAAGCCTACTTGTTGACTTGCGACGTAAAGAGCGTTTATCATTAATTGAAGTTCGGATGCATTTTCAGAGAACAGAACAATATCGTCGGCAAATCTTAAATGGCTGATATAGTGATTGTTTATATTTAAACCAACCTTTCCCCAGCTTAGTTGCTCAATAACTCGTTGTAGCACTGCTATGAATAATGTTGGAGAGATGACGTCACCTTGTCTTACTCCTCTGTTGATTGGTATGCATGGTCCGGTCGTCTCTAGTTTGATCCTACTATTGCAATTTTGATATATATGCTGTAATACCTTTATATATGACATTTCAACATTTTGCTGTTGTAGAGTCTCCCATATTGAGTGATGGTATAAAGTGTCGAAAGCTTTTTGGTAGTCTACAAACAGAAGGTAGAGAGGTTTGTGAAACTCTTGATATTTGTCTATAAGCATATCGATAGAGTGAATATGATCCACAGTAGAAAAACCTCTTCTAAAACCTGCTTGTTCCACTGATTGGTGCTTTTCAATAGTGCTTCTAATTCTCTTTTCTAAAATTGTTGAAAATAATTTGTAAATCGAAGACAGTAGGCTTAAAGGTCGGTAGTTACTTATATTATTTGGGTCACCTTTTTTGTATAATAAGATAATATCAGATTCAGTCCATTGTTTAGGTGTTGTGGCCGTTTTGAGCACCAAATTAAAGAGCTGTGTAAGAGGGCTTACTAGATATCGACTTCCTAGTTTCAGGGTTTCGTTGGTTACTTTGTCGGGTCCTGGGCTTTTTTCAAACTTCAATTTAGCGATTCCATTCATTACCTCTATTTCGTCTATGTCTTGTATATTCTGTACGTCTGAATTTCCCGATATTTCATTTGGTAGAGTTAAAAGCGGACCTTTATTTCCATAACTATATAGTTCCTTATAGAAGTTAGTAGCAACTTGAAGTATTTCCTTTCTTACGCCAGTTGTTTTATTTGAAACCGTGAGTCCTTCTATCCAGGTTCTATGTGATCGTAATTCTTTGTTAGCCTTCTTCAAGCTTCCGGACTGCAGTACGTGTTTTTCAATGGTCTTTTTTCGATGAGTGCTGTAATCGTTTCGGATATATTTGCTTATAAGTTTGTAGAGAGCTTTAAGCTCATTTTTCATGCTTCGTGTCTTTGGTTTAGTGTTTTGCAGTTGTTGCCTTCTTAACATTAAATTTCTAGTACGGTCTGATATAACAGAATGAGTATTTTTGTATTTAGAAGAGTTATGAACTGTTTTTAGGCTTCTGTTTATTGCGTCAATAATTTTATCATGAAGTTCTTGTACTTTGTAGCTTTGATGTGTGTCAATCAGTTGTGCTAAGTTCTTCTGTAGCGATTCTCTATATACTAGTATTTCTTTTTCAATTTTTAAACTTGATTTTATATTGTTTCCAAAGGTCTTTCTATTTTTCTTTGAAGACAGTATTTTCAAAGTAGCTCTTACTAATCTATGGTCGCTAGGGTATTTAACATTGATCACTTGCATATTTTGAGCACATATTTGTAAATTCGTTAGTATGTAGTCTATTTCATTTTTTACTTTACCATTTGGTGATCTCCAAGTCCATCTTTTACTGTTTTTCTTGTTAAAAAAGGTATTCAAAATTGCCAA